CGCATGCATCTCAGCCAGGACCCCCACGGCAGTGTCTCCATACTCACCCTCCGACTGCATGGCCCACAGTCATGTCTCTGTTTTCTTTGGCATCCTCCAGCATTTCCCTTGGAACTAATGGCAGATAATATAGTTTCTACTCAGAAAACCCCCTCTGACAGAGTGCTCCTCTGAAGAGGATTATAATTTTCATACTTGTGAGCCTCATGCTGTTCCACTGTCTCTTTCAGGCTGTTCTCCCCTGGGGATAGGGTCACAAACCCCACAAAGCACACACAGATTTGCAGTTAGACCTGCTCTCTAATTTACTTTTTCTCTGCCATGAAAATATGATAAGCAAAGCTGCAGGTTTTGTAGAAACTGTCCAAAAGGTTTAGGAAAGCTCTGTGCTCCCCTTAGCCCAACATCTGCCAGCTTTGAAAGAAATATTGAGGTGAACCTGCTCCAAAAGCTTTCAGGAGAAAGCTTGTATAAACAAATGCATAATAAAAACTAAAGTATTACTCTTGAAAACTAGTTTTGGTGGAAATTCTCCAGGTAGTCTGGGTGAGCTGTGGAGCTCAGCATGCTCCCTGGTGTCACAGCCAGGCTGTCCAGGCCCTGGGACCTGCCAGCTCCCAGCAGTGAAACCAGAGGTCAAATCTGAACAGAAACAAACCAGTGATCCAACACCTGGTGAATTCACTCTTCTTTCTAGAAGAATTCCTACCAACATTAAAAACAGCAGCAGAAGTTAGAGTTAAATATTAGTATGTCTGTGCATGCTTTGATGAAGAATGAAACCTCTGACTTACAAAACACAGATGGTGCCTTACTGGGCTCCTGCAGTGGTCTGCATTGCTGTGCCACGTTTACATCAAGCAAATGGAAAGGGGATTTGCCTGAGGACAGCCTGAAGCCAGCAGAGCCTTTGCAAGGAAAGAGGCTGTCTCGCATGGAAAGCTACGACATCCAGAAATGGGACATGGGAGACGAGCTCCAGCACCAGTTCATCCAGCACTGTTGTATGACTGGGATGAAACTTTTCAAGTCTCAGTTTCCTTACTTTTAAAAGGTGGGCAACAGTGATAGATCCCCATCTTGGGGAGGTGCTGTTTCCAGCAGACATGCTGGCTCTGCAGCAACACTTTCAAGATGGACATGGTGTCTGACTGCCAGTTCCTTCTCTTTGACACATTACAGAGAAGGAAAGGCAGTGATCTCCACTTTCCTAAGGGGAACACTTTCAAAGTGACTAGAAAGACACCAGCCCAATGGCATAAATCACTTTGATGAGCCTTTGGGTATGTCCTGTGACTTGGCTTAGGGCTCTGCTTGCCAAAAGGGAATAATTTAATCTCCTTAGTGATCCCACAACACTTCCCACAGTTGTCTGGGCAATCCTGCTACAGGGAAACTCAAGTTGCTCGTGAACGAGCTCTGAAGTCACAGCAGTTTACAGGGCTGAACTTTAAAGCAAAGGCAGAAATGGTCTTTAGAAAGTTGTGCATGCATTGTGGCAACTCAAAACGAGAGTCACAGCCAGACATTCACACCTCACAGACACAGTGGTTCACTGGTGACTGCTATGGCACAGGCATCCCTGGCAAAGCCATCCTCCTGCATGAATCCGAACACCAGGTCTCTGAAGACTCCTGGTTTGTTTAAGCCTCTCCTTATTTGAAACTTCAGGCTTCCATTTGTAGCTGCTGGACTAGACAGAACACTGAGGGCCAAATCCATAAAAACCTTGGATTTCTCTCACTTTTCCTTGCATCATAAGGAGTCAGATGTCATGTGCTGGAGCATATTAACACGAGGGCAATGAAGCTGGTGAAAGGACTAGAGCACAACTCCTATGAGGAGCAGCTGAGAGAGCTGGGATTGTCTAGTCTGGAGAAAAGGAGGCTCAGGGGTGACCTTATCGCTCTCTACAACTACCTGAAAGGTAAGGGGCCAATCTGCCCTAAATCGTAAGCTGCCCAAAATCAAGTTTAGTGTCCAGCTTTCATCATTCAGTACCCTTTTTGCCACTGTTCTAGATTGGCCTGGGCTGACAGAACTCTGAATCTGGAGTCACACCTTTTCCATTGCAAAGGTTTCCCAGATCCAGTTACCCTACACAGGAGAGCAGTACTTGCCTGTGTTTTCATGTTCCAAATGGGAACATGCCATTGCACTCATCCACATGAGAAAATCCCATATGAAACCTCTTTTCTTTGCCTGATCATTTGGGACAGAGCTCAGTACATTGTAACTGCCCAGTTTCACACTTCAGGTAAAGGAGCATGGGGGCAGCTCAAAAGGATGATGTGCTTTTGTTCAACAAGAGCTCCTGACTTGCTCCAACCTTGCAAGTAGGAACAGATGTCTCCAGCTCCCTGTACCAGTCACTCATTAACAAAAGCTCAGTCCCATTTGTACAGTGTCCTTGTTCTCACACCCTTAACTCATCGCTGCGTGGAGATAGACTATCAATGCTCAGCCTTGTGATGCTGCAGGGAGCAGGGCTGATTCTTCATGAGTGAGGAAAACAGCACGAGAGGGATCAAATCACAAACCTTGCACTATTTGGTATTGGTTCTACTCTGTTTCAACAGGACTATGTGCTTCTAAGTAAACTGAGAGGGAGCAGTACCTTAATATAGGTTTATAAGTATGTTCCTAGGATCTGACCTTTTACTAGTCTCCTTTCCTTAAGACACAAGATGCCTCTATTCTGCCCCAGACACCACACCAGAATGTTTAAGTCTTGAACACCTACACACTGCCTCAGAGTTCTTACTAGCTCTATTTTTACCTCCTTCTAGTATCTTTTACCTTCCACAGCACGAAATACAGGCTTTGCAAAGGAGCCACCTAGTCATAAATGTCACTGGAAGAAACTGCAAGAATGACGTGCTTTAAGCTATCCTATAGAAAAAATCCCCAAAAAGCTGTTTCCTACCCCTAGCCAGCCCCTTCTTAGGGATTGCAAGTCATCAATAGTTCAGACTGGACACAGTCTTTCCTAGTCACTTTTTCCACACACATCTTTCTCACACAAGGGTGATCAACTGGCACAGGCCAAAACTCCCTTCCAAAATTCAGCCCCAGTTTCAGTATCAGACACACAACCACAAACAGTGCTCTCCCAGGATCACTGGCTTTGCTCATGCTCTCCCAGCTGGTTACCCAGAACCAAATCACCTCTCTGGATGATTACCCAGAACCAAAGCCTATCTGCTATGTGGAATTGTTTTTTTCTTCTTTTTAAGAAAGAAGACCATAGCTTACTGCAGATACATCCACATCTTTTGTAATTGTTGCCTTTGCTGGTGGTTTATTACCAGCTTATGACACTCTGGGTGAACAGAAAACTGCCATCTGCTTTTCTCTCTTTTTTTTTTTGCATCACTTGGGTCAGGACAGCTAACAGGTGAACTCACTTAGCAAGAAAGATAAAGAAAAAGTGACTAAAAGCAGCCAAATGACCTACAGCTTGCAATTAGGTTAAGAGCAACCAGCTGATTTAGCTCTTGTAAATAGCTGTTTCTTTCCATTGACACAAAATGTGCCTGAATGATTAAAGTTAGGTGTGATGGATCCCACCCTTTGTCTTGTTGCATTTCAGTGCCTGATGTTTTGAAGAAATAGTGTCCTTGGTTTCAGAAGCAAAAACATGGATTATCTCATCTGCTCTAGCATCTTCTCGAAGGCAGATGCTAGCAAAAGTTGTTCAGAGGAGATATACAGCCCAGCTACAGACAGCCATAGAATCATAGAATTGTTTAGGTGGGAAAAGGCCTTTAAGATTATCAAGTCCAGCCATTAACCTAGTTAAGCCCATTAACCTAGCCAAGCCCACCACTAAACCATGTCCCAAAGTGCCACATCCACACCTTTTAAATGCCTCTAGGGATGGTTTCCTGGGCAGCCTGTTCCAAAGCCCAACAAGCCTTTTGTTGAAGATATTTTTTCCTAATATCCAATCTAAACCTCACCTGGTGCAACTTGAGGCCATTTCTTCTTGTCCTATCACTTCTTACTCAGGAGAATAGACTGAGCCCCACCTTGCCACTGCCTCCTTTCAGCTAGTTGTACAGAGCAATAATCTCTCCCCTGAGCCCCCTTTTCTCCAAGTTAAACACCCCCAACTCCTTCAGCTGCTCCTCATATAACTTACTCTCTAGACGCCTCGTGGGCTTCACTGCTCTGCTCTAGACATGCTCTAGCACCTCAGTGTCTTCCTTGTTCTGAGGGGCCCAAAATTGAACCCAGGATTTGAGATATGGGCTCACCAGTGCTGATTACAGGGGGACCATCCCTTCCCTAGTCCTGCTGGCCACTCTATTTTTGATACAGGCCAGGATGCTGTTGGCCTTCTTGGTCACCTGGGCACACTGACAGCTGATGTTCAGCTGTCACCTTTTCCACCAGGCAGCTTTCCAGCCTCTCTTCCCCGGCCGTGCAGCACTGCACGCGGTTGCTGTGACCCAGGTACAGGACACAGCTGTTGAACCTCACACAAGTGTCCTCAGCCCCTTGATCCAGCCCGTCCAGATCCCTCTAGCAGAGCAACACTCCCACCCATCTTGGTGTTGCCTGCAAACCGACTGAGGGAGCGCTTGATCCCCTTGTCTGATCACTGATAATGACATTAAACACAACACCTGACCCAAACAGAAGATCTGTCTCTAATCCCCTGTAAATCTGAGGCTTCTCTGTGTCCTGAAGGAGCAGAATTTAATATTCCTTGCAAAATCCCTGGCTTTGGGCAATCTACATTGTTGTAACTCTGGACAGGCTTGTTTTCCACAGACATACCCGGTATTGTTTTAACCTTGCGAACTCTTGATCCTTGCAAGTATCTTGTGCCAATTAATACCACGAGGCAACTGTGAGGGGAAACTGGGTGCTTCTAACAC